CCCCAAAACCCCAAAACCCCAAAACCCCAAAACCCCATCATAAATAAAATAATTGTTGAAGCATGAACGCCCGGCTTGATCCAAGAAATCCTTTTTCACGACACAATATGCTTCTATTGCCTGAGTTGAGTCATTCTTTTGGCTCTCTTTACTGTAAGATTTTTGGTAGTAAATACACTAATAATGAACTTGAGGCAATCTTTTCCGGACTTAAAATTCTAGAAGGGAAAATTGAGAGCATAGAGTCTGATATTGGCTAATTTAGAAGGCAGAAGACTCTCTAGATTGGCAGAATGAGGCTCTATAAATGGTGCATAATGAAAAGCCACTATTTTCTGCCAACATTTTTATGCTTAAGAGTATCCTACGTGGTTAAAAATTTCTTCTAGATTTAGCAAACTTCTTCAAAAATGGTAACCTAAGTTAGCTGATGAGTTAAATCCTGGCTATTAGTTAATGGGATTAGAATAAGCTTAGCAGGAGATATCCCAATGAGACTGAAAGAGCTATATGGGATTTAAGCCTTCTTGAATTTAGTAATTACTTATATTTGAACAATCACTGATTGAAGAAACTTTACTTTTGTTGCTGAGGAAAGGTAGTTTTCACCAGCTAGTCCACTTTTAGTATTTTTCTTCATAAAAATTAATCTTTGTGTCATGTCTATTCTGAGTTACTATCATTGGGTTTGATCAACACCAAGGTGTATAGTATGGTAAAATGTTGGCTATCACTTTATTAAAATGCACTTCAAGAATCTTATTTCCAGCTTATGAAACTAATTATTTTAGCTAGAAGAATGACGACCAAGAAACAAAGCAAAATTGTAAATAAGCATATTTATAGTATGTCATAGAGATTTAGTCTGCATTAGAAGGGATCTTTATGCATATATAGGTAAAATATATGGGAAGAGGCCATCTGTAACTCAAAGAAAGGTAATTTCTTGCTAGAAGTTGGAAATTATTTTGATATAGAGAGAACAAGTTCAGAAACATCATCCTAACACAAACAGAAATTTAGCCCTAAATGTGAAGAAAATCACCTTGGGGCATCATAAATCTACCAGGAGAACTGCCAGAGCTAGAAATAGGGTAATTGAAGTCTATGCTGCTCTTCATTTTCTAATTTTTATGAGTTCAGCTTTTCACCATCTTGATAGGACAAGAATCTCTATTTCAAGATACCAAAGCTCTTCAGCAACATGAAGATAGTGGATAAGACTTCTGAATCTGAGCCATGTCATATCTTAAATAATAATAATGCAAAGAAAAGCTTTTGGAATAACTCTTCCAAACTCAAGGAGATATGAGATACAGTACATCTCTACAAGCTCAGTGAGAAGGAATCAACAAGTGATCACTCTTATTCTAGTCCAAAGGTAATTTCTCATAAACAACAGAAGCTGACTTAATGTTCTAGAGATGATTAAGGACTAGAAATCAACAATGCCGCAAACTTTGAAATGTATATTAAGATCTTAATCTGTATTTAGAGGTTTGAAATAACCCGTTCCAGTGTAGAAGGAAGATTAAGGATACATTTGAACTTATCATTGCAAGGTATTTACACCCTTTAATGCTTTAGAGAGATTTATGAAGACACAACAGAAAAATCTTTAATTTATCTCATAAGCCTAATACCTCTAGATCTTCTAATACTTCTGTTAATCCATAAAGCTCATCCAGATCTGTCTATTATTTAAAGATTCTCCTTCCTCTATCTTTTACATACAGCCCTAGAAGAGGGAAATTTCCTTAGCCCCAATCATCTCACAACACATTTAGTTAATTTCAATGTCACCCCCACAAAGAGGGGTTTTGGGGTTTTGGGGTTTTGGGGTTTTGGGG